CAATTTGGGGTGTAGGGTTTAGTTCTGCACGATCCCTCCTAAAGACCCATAATCCCCCCATAATCCCTACATATCCCCTTTTTGAGAAACTCCTACAGAGGTATTCTAGGTGAGTATATATTGCAGAGATCCACTCCCCCAGCCACGTTAAGCAGGAGTAAGCAGTCCTGGGTTCAGGAGGGGAGTTTTTGGGTTACTTAAACGTGAAGGGGACTCTAAAACAGCAGGTTGTATGGCCTCCAACACTGCAATCCTTATGATGGGGACCCCCCGAAATGACTGATGGGTCAAGACATGGGCTACAAGATTGAGAACTCACATGATTGCGCTTTCAGGTCGGCATGGGCCCCTTTAGAATCCGTCCGACGGGGGGAGGCCTGTGGTAGGTCTGCTTTGGAGTTAGGACTTTCTGAAAACAATCCGCATGTAGTCTGCCAGAGAATCGCACCCCCTCATACTCAGAGACGGGAGTGGGATTGTAGTGTTGAGCTGTGTTCAGTCCGTGTGTGGGTGCACGCGATGTTGTTAGGGGTTGAGGTATCGAGCTCTTCGCAGACAGTGGTTTAGAGTCTGGCGTTTTAGCAAAGGCTGCGCGGCGTTGCGCCGCCCACTCCCCTGAAGCAATTATCGAAGCCAACCCAAGAAAAACCTCTAAACCCTAAACCCTAAACCCTGAGCCCTACGCCAGGGAAAGCAGAAATGGAGCCTAGATCTGGAAACATCTCACACATCCACCCCCCAACAAACATGTTACCCCAAAAGGGCCGCTTTACACAGGCTATGGTGTTTATAGGGCGCAGGCTTCCATGCTTTTTTCGTGAGAGGGTCGAACCTTTCAGTAAACGCCTAAACCCCCAACCCTGAACCCTAAACCCCTGAACCCTAAACCCCTAAACTCTAAACCCAAGCCTCGGGCCTTAAACCTTGAGCCGTCAGGATTCTCTGGGACAGTGTCCCATCTTGTGCATGGGTACCTGCGTCTGCCTCTTCAGGAAGGGCGTGGGGGCATAATCACTATTCAGTCTATTATCATGGTTCGCCAAACCCTAAATCCTAAGCCCTAAACCCGCATTACCATAATTATTGCGGGAGCGTGTAGGATTTCAGGATTTGGGGTTAGGGCCTACAAGGCCTTGGGGGCATCAACGTCTAGGCATCCGGCTCTAGGCTAAACTCTAAACCAATCCGGTTTTAGGGTTTAGGGTTTAGGGTTTATGACTCCCATATAGATATATATATATAATATACATTATTGTTTAGGGTCTAAAAAGCTCCTTCAAGGAGGGTTTACACAGGGGATTCTATAGGGGCTTATTGCAGGCGTGATAGAGGGGGATACAAGGAGTTTAGACTGTAACTCAGATGAAGCCCTCGAAGAGGCACTTTGCTGTGGTAATGTTCATGGGCATCTGTTTCATGGGTCCAATGGCAAAGCGGGGTGTGGCAATGTGTCCGCAGTGAGCTGAGAAATCATTGAAACAAACGTAGGTTGTGCCGTCATAAACCTACAGAGCTTGCAGGATATTCTTGCGTTATGGACTTGGTGTGAGATTCTGTCCTCTCGCCGGTTGGAAGCAGCGTTGCTTGCCAAACTTGGCTGAACCTTTTCTAAAGATCTCTCTGTGCGATCAAACAAAAGCCCAAAGCCACATGAGCTATAGTCTAAACTCCTGAAAGGGGCGTATATAGGGGATTATATAATAGTATAAGGGTTATTAAGGGGGATACTAGGAGTTTAGACCATGGCTCACATGCTGCAGGATTTTCATGCCCTTCTACCACGTTATAGCACTGGCCGGCGCCAGCGTTGTGTGGCTCGTTTGGCCGCTGCTATGGATCGTTCCTACGACCGCAGGGAACTTCTTAGCAAGGGGAGCCCCCCTAGGGACCCTAGAGATCTATAGGGGCTATGGCATCATCGAGCCCTGAGTAAGGATTATACAGGCGCGATCTTGAGAATCGTGAGTTGCGAAGACTTCAGATTTCGGCGCATCTGTATGCGGGTACTACCTTGATTTTGAGCATTAGTCAGTATTTTTTCAACTTTCATGTTTGCACAGGCTCGCATATGTTTGAAGGGCTTACGAGAACCTGTGGCTTTTCCTGGGCATGTTTGCTCCGAATGCAACCTCTGTGCCACCCCCAAAACCTCAACTCTAGCCCTTGGCGCAATGTCAAGTGCTCCCGTAGTACGGTAGAGAATGGCTTGCTCATCTGGTGCTACAATCATGTCTATGGGGCTTACCCCTGAGTTATAATGACCTCAAACCCTAGACCGCATGAATGGCCAAGTATTTGGAGGACTCGTGGTGTTCTTGTCACTCACCCACTTGAGTCAACCCTAAACCCTAAACCCTCCAAACCCCATTCGAATTAAGCAGGGCACCCTACATACGATGCTTATAAACCTCCATACAAACTTGGCCCCTGCATCCAAACCTCCCAAAATACTTTATGATCCAATTTGAGTCCGCTTAGGGGTCTGTGTACCTCCAGCCCATCATCATTATCATTACTACTATGCCTATCAGTATTACTATTCTTATTCGTATTATTCGTATTATTCGTACTGTTATTTTTAATGCTAGTATTACCATTATGACTATGCCTATTAGTAATACTATTTTTATTCGTATTATGTTTACTAGAATAACTATTATTACTATTGTCATACCTCCAGCCCAGGCTTTCAATGTGCTGCTGCTAGCCTATTGCCTGGTCTACCTGCCCAGCCGTTGCTGCCGACTGGGCTTTCCCAAGCCCGGAAAGATCCTTGGAGCCTAACGGAGGGCTTGGGGGTTTAGGGGTTTAGGGTTTAGGGAAGGGTTTAGGGTTTAGGGTTTAGGGGCTAAGGGATTCAGAGTTTAGGGGTAAGGGTTTAGGGGCTAAGGGATTCAAGGTTTAGGGGCTAAGGGCTTAGGGTTTAGGGGCTAAGGGATTCAGGGTTTAGGGTTGTGGGGTGTCGGCTTTTAGGTATGGGGGTTCAGGGTATTGGGTTTAGGAAAGATCCTTGGAGCCTAATGGTAGTTTCCCAACCTAGGGGGACCCCAATACAGACCCCAAAATACTACGTTTATAGGAGCCCTAAACCCTAATTAAACCCCATAATTTTGGGAGCCAAATCTTACATTCCCATTCCCCATAACGTCCCTGGAGATAAGGTGCAGTATTTGTGCCAGGCAGTCTTGGACCGAGAGTTCTGGGTTTAGGGTTTTGTGTTTGAGGTTAACCCTGGCTTGGGTGAAAAGGTTTGGGGGTCTTGGAGGCTTTTGGGGGTTTCTGGTTGTTGGATAAGGGCTTGATGTTTCAAGGGTTTCGGTCGTCTTGGAATTATAGTCCCCCTTAAGTAGACAGAATATAGGGTCTATGGGGATCTTACAAGAATACGCCCAAAAGCCATATTCTATCTACTTAAGGGGGACTATAGGGCTTTGAGTATTGGCATTTGAGGGCTGAAGAACTGCCTTTGGATGCCAAGTTCCTCTTCGTTTAGGGTTTAGGGTTTAGGCTTTAGAGGTTTAGGGTTTAGGAGTTTAGGGTTTAGGGGTTTAGGGTTTAGGGTTTAGGGTTTAGGGTTTAGGGGTTTAGAGTTTAGAGGTGTATAGGGTTTAGGGTTATACTCCTATATAAACCCATAACCCCAGTATTGTAGTTTCCGTATTCTGTTCCATTATTGCCTATATAGAACCCTATTGCTAGTGTATGTGCGCGTGACATCTATGTCATGAAGCAGATGCAA